GCATTTATGTGATCAAAAGGACAGATACAAGTGGTACTCTGAGGAAGTAAAATTGTCTAATCCCAAATTTGCAGGAAAAGTATTTCTCAGGTCTGTTTCAGGTTTTCAAAGATCATTGTATTAAAATATGAGTAATATTATGCAACTGAATTTTCTGAGTTTTCAGCAAACAATTTGATTGTAGCTGATTTTTTTATGAGGTTGACAGATGTCATGTTCTTGTTTTTTCCTCAGAGTTCTTCCTGTCAGATTTCTAGCTTGGTGTTAGGCAAGATGAGCTAAAAGCAATTACTTTGCAAATCAAATGTCTTTAATGATAATTTAATCTGTCTTTCTTCTACCAGTCACCAGCATTTGTAGGTTAGGAGCACTCTGACTGCTGAATTTGAGTTACACATCAGATAGTAGTTTCTAGCATTTCTGATACAAGATGGATTGTAAGTCATTTCCTGTGGCATAACTTGTTAATGGCCTTAGTAAGTAGCTTATGTCATTAAAACTTTTATGAAATTATATGAAATTGTCAAACAGAGCTCTAAGTTCTTTGTTCTGTCTAATCTCTTTTAAGTATTTCTAAGGTGCCAGTCATTGGTGCTATCTAATAGAGCAGTCAGAAAGAAAACCAAGTAATTTCAAAATGAACTTTCAGTCTTGCTGTCCCAATTCTACCTGCTTCTTTTTCTGTTACAATGCCCATCTGTTATGGACAGATGCTCAGGTGGGTTTCAAGAGGCTTACTGGACTGTCTTTCCACAACAGGCAAGCTAATGTACCAACACAGCTGCTTTTACCTGTGGGTGAACTAAGTAGGTTTTCAGGAATATAATGCAAGAATCTGCACCCAAGCTGTCCGCTACAGACATCTTTGGACTTGGGCCTACCTTTACCATAATGTTTTTCACCATACAGGAGATCCTGGGATGAATCAAAGAAATGGCAGTGGATTTCCCTAGGATTTTTCCTAGGATTTTTTTTTTTTTTTTAACTCATCAGATCTCCCAAAATTATTGCTCTTTTTGAGAAACAGCAGCCCAGGCCCAGTCAGGCCAGGCTGCCTGCTTCAAGCTTCCTGAACAAGACCATGAAGTTAGAATTCAACCGACTGCATCAAGATCACCTAAGAAAAGCCACTGAGATCTCAATTAGGTGACAAAGTTATGAAAAAGGAACAGCTGAGAGAGGAAGACCTTGAGGGAGTGTACCACAGGAAGGAGAATTATTCATCTGATAGTTCTGTCTGAGATGCAATTCAGTTATCAAATTTAGTTGAATATTTCATGGTTTTGTGCTGATGTGTTTTGTGGACTTACGCATTTTATGAAGCATTTCATCCAAAGATTAATGACCTTTGGCAATGCCCACAACACTCTCAGTATTGATAGGACCATTGTACCAACCTATGTCTTTGTATTAAAATCCCAATTAAAAATGCAGCCCCACCTTTTAATAACACAATTGAATGAATACAATAACTTCCACAAGTGCCTATATAAAACTCACCACATTTTTGGCAGCTGAATAAGAATTGAAGGCAGATGTGATGACAGAATAACTTTTGAGAGCATAGTAAGATTATCTTGCAGGGAAATACACCACACTAAAATCCATGGGAACTGAGAAATTAAATCATGATTTCTTGCAGGATTAAGAGTAGTTTTCATGAGATAGCAGTAAGTTCAACACAGCTTTTGATCAGGTAGGATGAATAAGTGCTGCTAACATGTAATTATTAATGAGTACTTCTAGAGCTTAAAGGAAGTGCTGTGTTTTCCATTGAAACTGAAAGTGAGAACAAATATATCTAATATATCTAGTGTTCCTTACAGGATAGTACCCTGACTGTGATCCGTAGCATTTGGTTACGGAGAGCACAAGAACTATATATGCATAAAAATCCATCTGCTGTTAGTCAAAGATTTCCGGAACTCCTTTATCCGGAACACTCTGAAATTTATCTTTGTACTGTTGCACACCATTTGATTTTCCAGTTCAAATGCAAGCTTTAAAACTATTGGCATTTATCTGTACGTGACTGAAAAGTATGACACATTGGAGTCATCTTGTCATAAAGGAGTAGAACCAATTCTCAGGAGACCTGGTTTCACTGTGGACTTGTCAGGTCAAGATTACAAAACTCAGCCTTTCTATGTCTTGTATCCTTAGTAAAATGGGTATAAAGATACCTTTGGTATTTGTCTTGCTTATTTTTGAGATGAACCACACTTAACAATGTGATTTTCATTGGAGGCTATAATATCATGGAAACGAAAAGTAGTTGAAAATCCAGTCATGATACAGTACTATATTTTCTCCCCTCTCTTTTCATCTAGATTTTTAGAGTGTGGGATATACAGACCCTTTCACTGCTGCAGGTCTTCCACGATAATCAAGGGAGTCCTGGAGAGATGGAGACCTTCACCATGGTATTTGACAATGATCATGGCACGCTTATCACCGGTATGTTACTGCAGTTGATGTGTGAGACCATCCCCCTTCTCCTAGAATGCGATTTCCTTTATGATTACATACAACTGAAGTTGAGTAAAGGAATAAAGTATGAGAGATGTACAGAATACTGGGCGGTAAGAGTATTTGCTCATTAAGATCATTTTAAAGTGGGTCTTGTTATATATGGTGCTAATTTCAATATAGAAATATGCATGAAAATATGCAGCATGGGAGTTAACAGCAGGAACCACATGAAATGAGAAAGGCTTCTCTGAAGGGAAGGTGAGCCTTCCTTAGAAAAATTAAACTACAGACATTGTTGTGTGGCCTTGCCATTTCTTGAAAACTAGTAAGCTGCTGATTTTTCCCTAACTATTCCTCTAGCACCCTCCTCCCGTTTGGTGATCGAAGCAGCAAAGTCTAGTCTCTGTGGAACCCTCACAACTGTATTCAAACTCCTTATTTAACTTAGTAGCTACAGAGACCCCCACAATATGTAGTGTCAACAGACGCACTGTCCAATTGATCAGTAATGAAATATTGTGGGAACTCATCTCAAGGTTTCTGGCCTCTGTTCCCTGACTCTGTAGAAGGAAGCCTGGAACCTCCGAGGGACCAGAGCTTTGCAGGTGTAACTAGGGATGTTAGTCTTCTGTATCTAAGGCAGAGACTCTGCAAGCCGGTAGAGTTTGCCTGCCCCAGAGACATAGTCACTGAAAACACCCAGCTTTGAACCTGTTCTGGGACTATAGAGGCCTGAGACATACCAGGCAAATAAGGTCGTTGTCCTTGGAGACAGCTCTTTCTGTCCTTGGATTAGGAACAAGTCACAAAGCTTGCAAAGCTTGTCAAATCTGAGAAGATGAATGTGAAACATTTTGTTTTCAGTGACCTGGTGGTTTCTGTTGAATCTTTGTGCCAATAAATCTGGTTTAGAAGCCTAAATACACGCATTTGACTTGAGTCCACAAATTGTTATATGAATTTAGGCATTTGGTAAGCACCGCAAAGCTTAAGAAACTTCAGCTTCTAGGTCTTATTTAAATGCCCAGAATATTAATCATTCTAGTTTTTAAAGATTTTTGATCACTAAAAGATGCAGATATAATCTTTAGTTCAAATTTAAGTTAGTGAGATTTTCAAGACTTAGTAATGTAGGGATTTTACATGGATAAATCCTCGACAAAATGAGGTAACTTCGCCCTTAGAAACAATGATTGGAGCAGTGCCTAAATACCTATAAAAATCTGGTCCTGGACTCTCTTAATGATTCCATTAAAAGACTAAGTTAATGTCTGCTTGCCTCTGAAGAGGGCAAGAGACTGAGGCTGTATGTGGACAAATTAATTCTCATTGCTATGTACCTGACTTTACAGAAGAGATTTTCAGTTATTAGTTTACTAACATCCATAAATCATGGCTCACCTTCATGCTTCATTTGAATATTGCCACAGCTTTCCTTCTGTGCCTTTTTCCAAGCTGCTGGCCTCTATGCCTGGACTTTTGCCAGGTATTAGGCAATTTTGTCCTTTGCTGCATGCTTGCTGCTGACTGCTGGTCCTCCGCTGGTAGAACCGTAGTAATACTGGAACCGAAATAGGAGGCTGCATCTGTAGTCTGGCTTATGACCCTGCGATGTAAAAACCTTGCTTTTGTCTTGTCTTGCCCATCTGCTTCTCTGTCTTTACAACCCTTCTGATCTGAGAGCACTGAAAGGTGTCTGGAAAACACCATTCAGACCTGCAGTGCTGTATAAAGGTAGGTACTGGAAAGACCTTATCATTGCCTGCAGATAGAATTGCTTTTCTCTAAGAAAGTGGATATCAGAGTTTATTTTAGTGATATATCTGCCAATTAGAGTTTTGTTTATTTGGGTTCGCTCCCTTCCATGCCAACCCACTCTGGAACTGGAGGATTTATGGCTTCTAATGATTTGGAGTCAGGGTATCAATCCCATCAAAGGTAGGTAGGCAAGTGGTTCTTTAAGTCAGGGAAATAATTAGCCATTGTTTAACTCGTGCTTTGTGGGGAGCATGTGTGAATGCTTTCTGGTTTAGAGAACAGATATTCTCAAGAAACAGACAACATTCCTTATCCACTTCAGAAAAACTCCAATGAACCTTATGTTTTACATAAAATCTTTTTTTATCCAGGTAAAGTAACTGGTACTATACACAAAATGTATATATTCTCACTCCTCTAACCCTGTGCAGGTTCAGCTGTTATTGACATTTATCCCCTAACTCATATGATACAAGATGCGAGACAGGTGCCACAGACACATGAGAAAAGCATCAATGTTCTGGTTTACAACAGGGCTTTTCACCAAATTCTCACTATCTGCTCTGCGTCAATAGTGAAGGTGAGTGTAAGCTGTCACCATTTAAACTGAAAAAGTCTCAGCTTTTTTTATTACAAATAAATTACTGGGCAATTACATAAGTAATTAGTGTTTATTATTCAAAGTGTTCATTTTGAGACTATTTTTGTGCTCAAATTCTCCAGAGAGGTGGTAGCCCTGATGAATTAACTACCTGGGTGCAGCAGCCTTAATTTTGCCAGAAAACTACTTCCCTGACCTGCACTAACATAATTGCACTGCAAGCACCAGGCAGACTGAGCAAGGCTTCGGAGGTACTGGATTTAGTTGTAATTCCTTCACCTCTTCCTGCAATGGATTCTTGCAAGTATAGCAACAGTTGTGAAAGTCCATTGGCTATTTAGTAGCTACAAAGGAAAATTTTAACTGCCATGATGTCAAACTGTGCATCTGATCAATAATTTATGCAAGCACAAATACACATTATTCTTCAATTCAGAAGGCATATCTGATAAGCACATCTTTAAAGTTTAGGAAGTATTTGAGTCCCAGTCAGCTTAGTAGAATGTAAACTTGTACTTTACACATTCTATAGATTGCTATAAAACATGAAAAAAAGTCACTTTGTAAAAACAGGAGTGTGTAAAAGATGCTGCTCTCAGATAAAAAGATTCCTTGAAGTTTCATTGGCACATACAGTATGCCTAAACTGTAAAACCTGACTTTTTATCCTCCTGTATCGCTGCTTATTCTTTTGGCTGATGTGCTTCTGTTTGGCTAGTGGTTCTAGAGCCAATTTACTGACCTGCTGTAGATCCTTTTCTCATTCAAATAATTTCCTAGAATATGTTGATTGAGCCTTAAGGATTTCAAGTCACACAGCAAGGGAGAAGTCTTGAATATAATAGACAGTGACCAAGAAAAATAAAGTCATGGAGATCACTTTGATCACTTTTAATCACAGCTCTTTTTGAGTTGAAGCATTAATGAAAAGATTAAACTTGCCTATTAACTTTACCACTTGCATTCAAACCATTAGAAATAGTTGCCATGCAAGTGTCAGAAAACCCACATATGAATAAAACAAATCATTACTGGTGTAATTTAACAGTATGACAATGATCATCAGAGGTACCGAGGACCTGCAGTTTTCATTAACTGTTGATGGGGTTAGATGGCTAGATGGGTAGGGATAGGCAGCCTCTCTTATTGGGCCAGCTGGTGATGCATGCCATTCCTGTGGAGAAAGGCTTGTTTGTGTAAAGGTTTGCTCTTTTTATACACTCAGTAAAGATGTTATTTCTCACTGTAAACCCTGCCTTCCTTAGGCCACGATGGCTACAACACCATTAGAATTACAAGATAGTTCGGGGCACTAGTTGCTGCAGAAAATCAGTTCCAGGTAGTGCATATGACATGAGTGGCTACTTCATAAATCCAGTTGAATCTGAGCTATTCCACTACAATGACCAAACATTGTTCTGGTACTTCATCATAAGGCATTGCTTAAATTCCCAAAAGAACGAGATAATGATCAAATATAGTTGTTCCTACATTTTTGAATCAAATGTTTATGAAAAGCCTCATTTTGATATTCAGCATAGAAATTATAGCTCTAACCATTCTTTCTAGCTAGACTGCTTTGCTTTTGCACTGTAAACACTCATACTTAACAACAGTCTCTCTGACTTGACAATGGTCTTTCTCACAGCATACTAAAGAGAGCCTCCTCTTGCCAGAATGGCTTCTCTGGGGAGAGGAACATTTTCATGGAAACTACACTAGTATTTCAGTAAAAGAACATGGTAGTGTGCTATTGTAACAGAGAATCTATTTCATGGGATGTGAAAATTTGCTCTTGGAAGTATTCATCTTTCTCCAATTACACTAGAACACATTGTGTGATGAGTTTTAGAGGATGTAATACAAATAATTACCATCTTATTTTTTCAGGTCTGGGACCTAGAAACAGGATATCAAATATATCAGATTGAAGATGCACATGGACTGAATACTGAAGTGGTCTGTGCAGCCATTGAAATAAATGGTTTTTATCTTGCTACTGGGGGATGTGATGGTAAAGCAATTAAATAATTACCACATTATATTTATTTAAAATGGCAAATGACATGAGGAGACAGAACTCTTTGTCTTGACTGTCTCAGTGACAGAAGAATGAATTTTGGTTTTCTTCCAAGATGGGAGGAAGTATGCACAGAAAGGCATGCACAGCTGTCGGTCTGGGGAAAAAGGCAGTGGGGGAAGGGTTGTCTTGGTTGGGTTTTATTTGATAGGTGATTCATAGAAAGGTTATTTTTGGCTGCTTGGGCTCTTGTACTTTGCTAGCCTACTGCTCTCTGGACAACTGTCTTCAAAGCTCTTGGTCTGAAAAGATGTTTCCTCATAGGACTTAGGACCTGGATCTGTATGCCACACTGTAACTAAATGGCTACAGATGGAGAATGGCTGGTTTTCAATTTTATAGTATCTAAGCTCAATTTTATAGTGTTTGCAGGCACTGAACACTAGAATATGTATATATACATGTTTCCTGAATTTTTTGTGTGTGTTATTTAGGTTGCATCAGTTTTAGGTAGTGTGTCAAGACCTCTCCAATACACAAGTGTTACACTGAATTCTGTAGCAAACTTTAGTAATTTTTAATCTGTTAACATGGCTGAATAATTCTTCTCATATTCCGATGTTCAAGAGTACACACCTGAAGTATTAAAATATATGAAATATATGAAAGCTGCCTCACATAAAGAGGAGATGGCCTTTTCCACACAGCATACTGGCTAATGTTTCTTGTTTATACTTGGGAGCAGAGACTGCACCCTTTATGGATCTTAAGAGCATGACAGAAGGTGAATGCTATCAAGTCTTACAAAAGTGAAGTCATATGTAATAACTGCTTCACTTAAGATAATGCTCTAGCTCCTTCTCCCCACTAGCTCTGTGGGACAAGTCCAGCAACGAGATGCCTCTGCTCCTTGCTGTAGCTCAGAACCTGAAGTCTTCTGCCTGATGGCCCGCCACTCTGCTTGCTCTCTGATGGCGTTAGTCTGGAAACAGAAGTAACGTAGGCAGTGGTCTTTTATCCTGGGCTGCAGCATAAGACAGACATGGAAAAAAAATGGAAAAATGGTGGGGGTAGTGGTGAAGATGTTTTCTGGTAAGTTCTGTGTCCCTAAGGGTGCTTTCCTAAGAAACACTCACACTATTACAGCCTTTGAAAGACCACTGACCTAGGTCTGAAACTTCAATTTGATTTTCTTTTTTCTTCTCCTTTCCCCGTTTGATGCAGTTCGTTTCTGACTTTGAAGCACAGGTTACTGCTGAAAGTTCATTCCCTTTTGTATATCTTTCTCATCTGTGTGTAGGAACAGTGAAAATTTGGGAGTTTGAAAGTGCACAGGAAGTTAAAGCCTTGCCTTTGGCCCAGCACAGCAAAGATGAGTGTCGTCTGCTGAAGATGGTTTATCTGAAGGCTAATGAAAGTCAACATGCACTTCTTGTTTTGGAGCAGAGTGGGAAGATGAAAATCATTCAGGTTTTTCAAATATACTTTTTTTTTTCCTAATTTCATTTGGTAGCTCCTAATTTTCAAGGTAAAATAGGACTTTTTCTTTAATTAGTAGATAAACTTTTAGAAACTGTCAAGGAACAATCCACTTCCTGCATGTCATCAAACTGGCTTTCTGCCTTTCTGTCTAAGAGTTAATACGTTCATTAGTCCATTGCTGGTTTTCAGCATTCTGATCTTTGCATTCCTTGCATTTGCTTTTCTCTTTGTGATCGAGGTATCAGTAGTTACAGATCCTTTAAGGTAAAAGCTTTAAAATATTACTGTTGTGATTATAGATAGTGTTTACCCCATTTAAAGGGTTTCTAGTTCACCAGCAGCTGAGACTGGTTAGAACTGTTCCTGCAAATCCTGTTTCTGTATTTAGGTGCACTGCAGTGGCCAGAGCCCTGTTTTTTGACAGCACCTCAGGCCTAGGGCCATGTTCTCATGAGCCAGCCATACCTTTTCCTCCTTCACTGCCGCCTTTCACCCTGACTGTGCTCCTCAGTCAGTGGAAGCCACAGCATCACCTTCTTGGGTTCTGGATACCCATCCTTTGCAGAAACCACTGTCCCATTTCCGCAGCTGAGCCCTCAAATTCAGATACTGCTGACCCATTGCAGTCATTCGCATGCCGTAGAGGCTCTGTTTAATATTTACTAAGAGGAAGCTTCCATGACTCAGGGATTCAGTTTCACAAACATCAAAGGCCTCAGGCCCATACACTTACGTCATTTTGAAGTTCTTCAACTGTAGCCTCATACCCCTCTTGGTATATTTTCCCTCTATGGAGAGTAGGTGACCACGGTATGATCCTGCAAAAAAACCCTCAATATCGGAGAACATTTTGGTTAAAGGATTTTTTTGTCTAAAATTACTAGATTAAGACAGTGTCTGCTTAAGAACTGATACAAAGAAACAAGACAGGAATAAATCGGATTGACTTGCTAGGCTTGATTTTGAGAGTCTACTCTGTGTTCCCTTCAGGTAAAATTAACAGGATGCATTTGGAGCTCACAATAATTGGGGTTTCATTCTCAGACAGACCATGTTTCTGTACAATTTTTTTCATCAAACTGGAAAGTTTTACTTGGGACAAAATTCTCCTCCCGAAACTTTAAATCCACTATGTGCAAGGGAACAAAGGCTGTGGGGAGAAGTAGTAGGTTTTACTAGACAGATTATACATTTAGGGGAAAAAACATGCAAGCTCTCATCTTGGTAAATAATTTATTACTTTTGAGCCTCCTGCTAATGAAAAGCTGTTTTATACAGGGTTTGCTTTTTATATTCAGATTTTTCCTGAAATACTACATCACACCAATTGCACCCCAGTGTTATCACTGAAATTGTTAAATGATTCCTGTAATGTAAATGTATCCCTTGACAAACAGGTTGGTGAGGAGTTGATTCTTTTCCAAGTCCTTATGTATCTAAGTACATTAATTTTTTTTCACATAATTGCAGAACTACTTTTTTATACAAATGTTTAACTGATAATAAGCAATACAGGTTGTTATTATTACTAGCTTTTAAAGAGGCTCTGAATATAGTAGTTAGCAAGGTAAACTTAAGTAGCACCCCAAAACGAGTTCATCCTTTGCATAAATCTACTACAGATTGCTCAATTTTTAGTCCTTCCCACAAGGTATCTCTTGTTTGATACACTTAATATCATAAGATTTACTAAAATCTTAATCATTGCTTCATTCTGGAGTTCAAGGCATCTATGAAAACCTAAGGAGCTGATTTCAGTAGTACTTCTCAAAATAGACAGAAATATCAAAGTTAAAGCAGAAACTAGATACTGAAGTGAATATGTTATAGTTGGAAAAACTATCAAGGTAACTCCTGGTAGCCTCTGGGCACAGTGAGGACGAATTAATGACTCGAGGCCATGGCTGAACCGTGGCTGCTGCTTCTCACACAATTGGAACAACCACTGGTTTTGCTGGTATGTTAGATATCAACTGGAGACTAGCAATGTTAATAAAATAAGCAGCTATAACTGAAGAGACAAAGGGGGTAGTTAAACAGAATGAAATCAAAAGCTCTGAACTCCACAGCTGCACAGCTTCTAATATTATAGCAGGTAATTTAAAGTGGAATATCTCTGGCTGGCACTTCAGTTTGCAGTGTAGGCATATGCTAGGTGATACCTGTAATAGTTTTTGTAGTTTGGAACAGAAAACAAGCTTTTTACACATGCTTGCTGATAATTTTCTTACAGATAGAGAAGTCCTTTCCTTCCTCTTTCATTAAGTCAGTTATTTTAATAGGGTAACTCAGTACAAACCTATCTATATGTCACATGGGTGCTTCCTGAAGCAGTGTCATTTCCACGAAGGAATCCAGTTGTGTCTCTGTCACTGAAGCCTGACACCTTGCAAACAAGTAATTTTTTTCCGGATATTCAGCTGCCGTCTGACACCAGTTCTCTAAGGAATGAAACAGAGGTGAGAAACACTTCAAAGTTCCACATCATTTACAGAAGATTAGAAAGTAAAATGTTTACTGTGCCCTCAAGGATTTCATGTTTTAGCAACAGGATAAGAACCAAATAAGGATTCCAAACTTTTCAGTACACTGAAGGTCTAAAATAAATCATGTAAGAAAGTGTTTCTAAGGGCTGTATCTGCCTAATAATCCGTTGCATGGTTGTCACCATGATTAAGCAGCTGCTCTGAACATACACTTCAAATTCCTGTACAAAATACTAAGTTGAGGTTCTTGTATAAAGTCTTCTAGAAATGAAATGCCATTCATTACTATAGCTAGACTGACCTTCAGTAATAGTGGCAATAAAAATCAAGCTGGGTGTTAAAGTGGTTCCATTTTCTCTTCTCATTGCTTTGGTAAAATGTCATATTTGTTTCAATTGTTGACCAATTTAACTTGAATAGCCCACGAGGTTTAAGTTTTGTTTTGTATAATTCCACTAACTCTGTAACAGATCTGGATGATGCTGATGGAAAGCATCATATAGTCATTATATCAAGCGCCATTATATCTCTGTTCAGTGACTTATTCCTTTAACTTGATTAGAGTATCTCCATAGATACCTTCTTCTGATTGACCTTTAGTTGTTACAGCTGTTTTTGCATGCTCTAATTGCAATTGTGCCACAGATAGCAGGTCAGGTTGGCAAATGGAAGCCGCTGTCTTCTGCAGCAGGGTTTCTCCCAGTACTATCACTCCCTGCTTCCTTCTGGTGCTTCTGTGTAGCTCAAATACAACAGTATTAGAATAGCATTGAACATGCAGTTGTAGACACTGTCAGTTTAGGCATCTTGTTAAATTAATCGTTAAAACGTTTCACTCTCTAGTGTCCACATTGCTCCTAATCATTTTTTTTAAATATTCTTTGTAGAATTTTGTACCTTCTGTGGAAATGAAGTGTTTTGATGTTTTAAAAGTAGAAGGATGCAGTTTGATAGCTACAGGAAGTGCAAATGGTGCAATAATTTTGTGGGATTTTGAATCTGCCTCTGTGAGATGCCTGTAAGTATTGCTTTCATGGAGACATTTTGATCTCTGGTATTTCATACAAACTTTTCAAATGGGATACTGGAAATTCTAAGATACTCAACTGTCAAGGGTGATAGACAAGCAGGAGTTAAAGTAGCAATTTATGTGGGCCCTCTCCCTCCCACTTCAAATGACTTTGCTAGCTAGTACTGACACTGCAGGTAGGAGAAGTGATCAAGAGAGCAAGTAATTTGGGGAAGGGATGATGTAATTAAGAGTAGTGTTTTAACATAATTCAGCCCTGCCACTGAAGGAAACTCTTACTATACAAGTCACTCTGTCATTGACTAGAGGCTGCTACTGAGCTGTAGTAACATTATTTTGCAAGTTTTGTTCTTGGGAGGACATCTGAAATAATGCTACTTCAGGTGATAGTGGCAGATATTGTACATTATCAGTACCATTGTCTATACCTAGAAGACTACAAGTTGCATTCAGTAAGGAGAAATCTGAAGTGATTTTTGATGTTTGGGAGTAAAAATCTTTCACAGAATTTGACAAAAAGTGAGTATAGGATGGTTCCAGATATTCTCGTGAGGATTAAGCTGCTACATCAGGAAAGTGAACAATGACAACATGTCTGGTTAGATTGAGTGCAGCAGCACGGCAGTATTTCTGTGTTGGTGATGGAATACATGTTTTTTTAAGACCATAGATAACTATCCTACCCAACAGATTCACAACATCCTTCATGTGTAAAATTGGCATGTTTGTAAGAAAGTGAGCTGAGCTTTTCTGTACCACAGGAAATAATCAAAACTTAACTGCAGCTCTGTCTCTTCCTTTGCTTTTGCCTCCCCATATATGGGGGAGCCAATTCATGTGGATGCATAGAACACAGGAAAGTCAATGCTTTGTAAGTAGAGTATCTTACCCAGGGTTCACATGACTAGTTTGAATGCCAAGATCAATGTACTTTTCAAACATTAACTTAGCTAGTTAACTTCAACATAAGTTACTTTACTTTTCTCTTAAATACTAATTCTCAAGAAAATACTTGGCTGAATTAAATGTTCATCATTCCATCAGGTTCCTGTGTTTCCTGGCACAGGCACATTCTGTATCTACTCTTCGCTGACATTAATCCATCATAACTGATTAACTGATTCTGAAAAATTGTGTCTAAAACTTTTAGGTGACATGCATTCTGGGAAATGAAATATTAAAATTTTTAGATTATAAATAAAGTCTGCAACTTTTTCTGGGAACAATACACAACCTATCTGACACATCTTGTACAAACATTTTTATTTTCAGCTGTAAACTTAATGAAGACAGCCAGGCTTCAGTTCTTCAAGCATCTGGGGTCAATGCCATGTTATTCCTTGTACATAGCGCTTTCTTTTCCAGGTAATTGTGTGCATTTTATCTTCCCTCAGGACAGATGCAGTCATTTGGAATTTTGTTGTAGTAAACTGATGTAATGTTTGTCCAAGATAGCTGATTTAAATTGAGATTTTCTTTGCATTTAATCAATTCAAGTTCAAACAGTTAATTAGCTTTCCCATCCTTAAACTTGTGTAATGCTTATCAATCCATAATATATGTTCTTTTTTTTACCACTCCACTAAGTTATCTTTTTGTCCTCTAAATGACCTCATAAGTCTCAATTCTGTTAAAGAATTCAACAGAAGTCAGCTTTTGTCAGATATTAGTTTTCCTGTGTACTGCACCTTCTTTGTTTCTTATCTCTGTGAGATAACTCTGTGTGGTAGCAGGCTTTTTCTTTATTTTAAACCTGATATAATCTTCATGGTATTAGATACTCTCAGCAAACAAAGATGGAGGCAATCTCATTGAAGTGTGCAGCCTCAAGATTCATCGTAAAACAAACTAGAAGCTGGCATAGGTTGGTAATGTTAGATGGAGAACAAAATTTTAGCCAAATATGCTCATTTTGAGAGAAAGGCATTGCACGTCTACATAACCAGAAGTGCTTCTTTTCCAGTGGATGTGCAAAGGCAATGGTAGCCAAAAGGACTCTATATGGTTTAAATACTTATGCAGCTTTAAGGTCTTAAGCAATTAGGCAGCTTTTTTGCTCTCCTGAATCATGGGAATGGTTTATGGTCTTATGTTGCTTTAAAACCTTCAAGTTGCTTATGTATTTACTACACCCCTAAATGTACCAGTGCCACTTAATTCAACATAAATTTCCTTTTTGACATTATAGCTTAATTATTAATTTAATAAATCCTAGCTAAATTAAAATGTGGTGATTACAATTCACAAATGAAATATTTTATAAATCAAGAAAAGATCTGATTACGGTTCAACAGGAGGATCTTACAGTGTCTTTGAATCATATAGGCTTAGGATGTTTTGTATGTACTGGGAAGGTACCTGGATTAATTTGACTGTGATCATATATACACACACACACAATGTTCAATAATGGTAGCAAGTCTGTAAGATAAAACACTGAAAAATTACAGTGTCATGGCCACCTGTCCAAATGTAAGTGGGCTACCCCAGATGAATACTTTCTATATGTGTTTTACGTTATCCCAGTTATTCAGATACTCTTGTCAAAAATAGAGCAGCTGTGACATTGGTGTAAATTATTTGGCCAGAACATCTCATCAGCAGTCAGAACTTTTCTTGACTCAGAAACACAAACATTGAAGAAGACCTCCAAATTTTTTTCCTGAGTTTCTTCCACAGAATCCCATTTCTGATCATTATCTCAACAGATTGAAAATAAGTTTCTATAATTAATTGAAAACTATTTGCAGAGCAAAGCGCTGTGTAAATGTCATTGGCATACACTAATTTTTTCCCTTTCACTTATTGAGGATGAACACCAGTGTTAATTTTGATATACTATGGATTTAATTTGCTCAAAACTCCTGACAGGACAGATGGCTGTGTAATATGCAAATATTGCCTACCAACTTGGATAAATTTCTAAAACACCAACAACTCTTAGTCTAATCAGTATAATCAGTTCAGTCACTATTCTATTATGCTTTATTACACTGGACGATGTTGATTTCCAGATAGCAAACAATATCCTCAACAGTGTCAGTGATCTCCAATAATTTCTTTCACACAGGCAAATTAGTTCCCTGCCCTCTACTACTGCTACTGTGAGAAGTGATATCAGTGCCCTTCCAGAGCACAAGAGCAGTTCTTTGAACCTGCATAAGGTAGGTATAGTGGCTTCATGGATTCAGTAGCATTCAAAGCAAATTTCTGTTTTCATTTTGGGTCTGGTTTTAAAATCCTGTAGCTTACTAAAATCCCTCCATAAAGCCATGCACAAAACTAAATATCAAGAATTACAGAGAAATGAACTTTGTTCACCTAAGATGAATGAGGTAGGGAATTAAGAATACATTGTCAGGCAACCAGCTCTGTTGATACTTGGAATAGCTGACTACCAAAGTGTTTGTCAGATGCTTATCACTAGCAATTCTGACTTGCAAACAGGGGTATAGAAGAACTCAAAGGGGAAGGTAAAATAGACAAATCATGACGTACGTGAATAAAAGTGGAAGCACATCTACTATGCAGCCACACTTGCTTGGACACATTGCTTTCTAATGACAGTACAAGAACTTTTTTAATTTACCATCAAGATGCCAGTGTCTCAATCTGTGTATTTTTGCTAAAGATAGCATTATGATTTTTATGACACTTTTTGTCCTTTTATGCCAGAAGAGCACGCCATATCTGCAAAGCAACAAATAGCAAGTAGGCAAAAAGAGGAAAATCCTGCTACCTCTCAGAGTCTTTCAAACATGTTGTTTCAGCAGAGCGTGGCACTTTCATAGATTCCCAAGTAGACACAGGTCTAACTGTCATCTGCAAACTAAAGTATACAATATCTTGTGCTATGTAGTCATTAGAATAACAAAATGGACAGTCATTTGCAGCTCTTAAAAAGATGCCCAAAAACCCAACACATCAAGCCTTACAGATCAATAGGTAGGATGAGATTGATGTGGCTTTTCTTCTTCTAAGATACTTCAAATACTCATGGATGCATAGTTTTTCCTGTCTTATTTGACAGCAATTTTTGAGGCCAGTATACTGATTTCTGTCAGCCTTGGGGATTGTCAGAAGTAAGGCACAAATGAAGGACTGTGATAATTCTCATACTGAAGATGCAGATGAGCAAATGTTACTGCTATTTATGCATGTTGTTCATCTTTGCTCAAGGAAGTAACAAGACTATATATATGCGTGTTCTGAATTAAACTAAGAAAGAGGTCTAGGTTACATTCACATGACTGTAAGGGATTGACTTTGCTTGTCCTAAGAAATTAATGCCATTCAGCCAAATTTACCTTTAGCATGTTCCTAAATTCCCATTGATTTCAGTTGTGATTTGTTCATCTGTGATTTTGATTCTCTTCAGATGAAATGTTTCCTGGTTTCACTCAGTGCTGTCCCAGATTGAATGGAAATCGGGGGAATATTTGAATCCTTCAATTAAAAAAAAATAAGTTCTTAAAAGAATTTAAACTAGAGAAATGTTCTGTAGTTACACCCAAATTCCATTTTATAACTGTTACATTTTTATTCCTTGCTTTTAGGAAAATGTAAGAAGTGATGAAATTATTACTGAAATAACAACAGGTATGGAAAGATGTTTTTCATTCTCTTTGTTGTTGATCCACAAGTTCTGCCCAGATTACCATAGAAACTGAGTTTGTCAGTTTGTCTGGCAAACTGTGTTTAGAATACTCGAGATACCATTGGTATGTGGATGACACACCTCAACATCTTTTGTTCACCCCTGATTCACAGTTATTTCCCAACAGCCAGGCCAGGATGCAGGGTATGCAAGAGTCTAATGGCTGATTTTTCTAAATAGACATGATGCCGAAAACCTTGCAGAATTTAGGAATGTCAACTATACACACTTCTCTTCCACATAAACATTCAAGCAATGAATTATTGAAATGGTATAGCAAGAACCAACTTCAGTCAAATATGAGTGAATGGCCTCACAGAGAAAATCTTCAAAAGCAGATAGAATTTTAGAAGGAAAAATCTTCCCTATCTTATATATCCTTAAAATAATATAAACAAGAAAGAGCCAAGTGCTTAAGAGTTAAAACTGTGCAAATGGATTCAGTGAATTTGCAAGAATCAAATCCTCCAGATTCTTCTGAATGCTTTAGACATTCTCTGCTGGAAAGCAGACTTTCCCAATAACAAGAACTTTGATCATCTGAAATGTGGATTTAAGCTGAATTTATTTTTCAAAGAATACATGCCCTGAAACTATAATATCCCTAAGCCTTGTAGCTGCTCAATGAAATAGACACTCACATTAGGTCCTGTATCCACTGAATGTCAATTTCACTGAGGACCCTCATGGGACCCCCCCAGCATCTCCAGCTCTGAGGATGTCACAGCAGGAACTCAGAAAAGGTTCTCTGTGACCACCACCTTACATTTAGCAAAAGTTTTGAACATAAGAATTATAGAAATCTATGATTCCAGAATTGTTAAGTGTCATTTAGTTATTAAACTTCATTTCATTGCTGAATTGGCAGTAATCTCTAGAAGGTTCATGCAGAGGCTGCAGAACTGCCTCTCAGCTGTCCTGATGACCACTGTCGTGCAGTCCTCCTCCACTCTCACTGGTGCTTGCAGTTTCTGTGAAATCTGTTGCTGTGCTCTAAATAAGGTTCACCCACATTATGGACCAATAGTTCTGGCTCATTTAGATAAGATCATGAAGATCATTCTAATTTCTTTTCAGTTGTCTTTTAACCATATCTGTAACATTTTCAGAGTAATGCCATCTTGATGATGGAGTTTATTTTCAAATTTACTTTTTTCCTAGTGTTATGTAATTTCTGTACATTCAAAAGTGGTACTAAAAATTGTTGATATTGTATGATCATTTGTGTTCCGAAGCAGAAGACACAACTAGGTATAAGAATATCCAGTGCTTGAAGATGAACGTACAGTTATCCAAAGCTGTAGCAGGACACTCACCAATACTGGCTTCTGCTCATGAAAATGGCTGTATCTGCCTATGGAGTATTCAGGTAGCTATCTGAATTTCTTTGGGATGGGACTGGACCATGAAGAAGGTAACTACTAATATTTGGAAACATGCTTTTTAACTAGCAATTGCAGCAGCAGATGTTTTATCGCATTTTTTGGTTAATAGTTTCTTCCACAGACACAAATTATTTCTGCTTTAATAATGGTAACACACAGTAATGGCAAGTGGAAAATGAAGAAACATGATTTGTAATAATTATAACAAAAACTGACTGTAAAGTTATGTGAAAGTCTAGAAGTTGATTTTTCACCCACATCATTTACCTTCTAAGAAAGGATGATAGGCAAGGCAGAGTGTCCTACTCTCAGAAGAGGAGAAATGTGTCTAGAACATTGCACAAGCCAGCTAGCGCTAGTAGGGTTACAAATCAGGAGAGAATAGCATCCTAATACATAGTGTCCTAATACATAGTGTCTACTGCTATAATCAGTTTGTAAAGCCAGTCATGTAACAGAATGCCAATGGCTTAGCTGTCATATCACCTCAGACCTACGAGACTCTATTCCAGAAAACATGTTGCTCTAAACAAGAGACAGTACATGCAGAAAGATGGGAGAGTACCATGATATGACTGGGTACTATTGGTCATTGTGGCAGACAGTGACCACAATATGTCAGCCATGTAAGGCTGCAGGAATCCCAGCAACGCAAGTCATAGCGAGAAGTTTTCAGAAAGATGGTGACATATCTTTGCAGATGTTTTATGCAAAAATAGAATACGATTGTAAATGTCCCCAAGTACAGTAAGTGTGGACTTTGTTGGGTTTGTTCACAGTTGATATATTAGTGTGCTTAGATTCCTGTAGGAATCTCCAAGTTCAGATGATGATATCATCACTGACATGATTGTCATCATCATTACATGGATGACACAGTCAAGATTCTCCTTAGCAAGACTTTCTCCCTCACCTCCTCTCCAACCTGAAGAGATAATAAGGCATGAAGTCTACTAATGCTTGCTTGAAAAATATAAAAAGTTGTTGAAGGAGACATCATGGGTCCATTTGCAGCAAGAAATGATATTTCAGTAGCAAGTGAGATCATACTGATGATATTCCACAGCAAATGAGAGATAAGAGGTAAAGTAGGAGTGGGTACAGATAGACTGTGAATTGCCTGAAAAGTGAAATAGCTTGTTCTTTTGATGTAGAAGAGATAGTAATCAGAAGAACAATACATCCCAGCAGATTAGGAAACTACCTTTTTAGCTGCTTTCTGAATAGACAGGAGCTGAGTAACACTGAATAGATCAAACCAATGGCACTTAACTTGTGATGCATTGATAAGTATTTTTTAAATGTAGAAATTATAAAGAGAAACGTGTTTGTTTATTCATTTATTTTAGGGAAACTTAGTGAAAGAACTTATGCCATTTTCAAAATATGCTTCAGTTCCTCTGACAGCACTATGTACAGACATCTCCACTAAAATGCTTTTGGCAGGCAGTAAGGGTGAGTAAATTTGTTAGTCATTCTATTCAGGACAGTTCGTAGGACCACAAAATATCATGCTGTAAATGTGCCAGAAATGTGGAAATGAAGGTCCAAATGCTGCTAGACTTTCTCCATCAAAGCTATAATTAAATAATTGAAAAAGGTATTTTCTAGTATGAAAGGATGGTAGATTAAAGCTTAGCATTACATAGCATTATCAGTAGAATTGTTTTCATAAAAGATATTACAATTTTCTTTATTCACAAGTCCTGCATATACTTTTCATCTGAATTACTGTATTAATACCAAGGGCAAAGATTTCTACTAAAACCAAGCAAAAATTTCATGTCCATGGTAATAAAACTAAATAAAAAACTGCAGCTGTGGCTCTACCAAGAGCCATGATTCAGACACTGATATGGAGTGCAGTCATGGCTTCAGCAGTATGCTGCTATATAAGGAAAGAAAGCACTTGCGGTTTGTGCTAGCAGCGCATTGATAGACTTTTAATTTCACACCAAATCTGGCTTTCATTTGGCAGAAAGTTCAAGAGTTTACCTGCTGTCTGATTCTCCTCCAAACCTTTAGAATCACCCTGGCAATTTTCCTCTTCTGCATCTGTCATATGAGGTTTTTGTCCTTTAATGTGTCACTTTTCTTCTAAAATACCTATTAGAACTGTTCCTGCCAGCTTCCTGCTCTTACGCTGTCAGAAGCTGGATGAAGCAAGGGGCTTTTCCCCATTTGTTTCAAAACTGAGCAGTAGCTTGATGCTAATGCTGAAAATGAAGAAGAGTTTCCATTCCTCATTGATTCAAATCAGTAAATGAGTTCAGGAAGGCAGCATACACTGAACAGGATTTTAATTAGTGTGGAAATGTATCCACCCTATTACCTATTTATCTGATACTCTCCTTTTGTCCTTTTGTGTTTGTGCCACTGTGTATTTGCTTTTCATGCTTTCCTCACCCTTCTTTTTTATCTGCAGTGCTACTACCAATTTCTTGCTCCCATTACAAATTTCTCCTTGTTAGGAAAAGGTCAGCTTCTCTGTCAGCCTCCTTGCTTGCTTGCAAATGTACAGTCCTAGAAACCAGATATGACCAGTCTGAAGGTTGGAATTACGCAAAAGATTCCTCTGTCTCGTAGTAGAAACAAGAGATAAGAGGCAAGTTCATCAGGAAAGAAGGAGCCTAGGCAGGAAACGGGGCAGTTGTGGGTCATAAGGAAAATGATTCTTTGATTCTAGCTTCACATGAGTGCACTAAAAGGTTGTAAAACATTAAGCTTTCATTACGTATGCAATTAATCAAACTTTGTCCATTTTAGCAGGTTTGGAAAACAGCTTAATGCCTAGGAAGCTCTCATAGCTAGTTTGTGCGATAGATAACTGTCTTGACAAGACGACTCTTATTTTTTACTCATGTCATTTAAAGAAAAAACTTTACGTTCTTTCCATTTCAAACCTATCCAGTTAATGACACATTGCTCACGAAGAGTATGTGTATTCTTTGCATATTAATGAATGGTCCATTATTTTCAACTCTGTGCTTGACAATAAGATAGCGACATTCACCTTAAAATAACTTTCACTGACCTGTAATCCCTGCTTCATTCTGCCCAGTGTTTACCAAGAGCAGATCGTAGCAACTAGTGAATGGATAGCACTAATAAAATTTATTGATGTTTTGCTTTTTCCTTTCTTAAACAGAGGGACATATTATGCGCTGGAGCATTGCCTCATTCTTAGAAGACCCACAAAATAATAAAAATGTAAGGAAAAATATGACAGATTTTCTTAACTTGAACAGTATACCAAGATAAGACAAACAGAGAAAAATGGATTCAGAGCTCTACAGGGATTAAAAATGTTTCCTGCACATAAAGGTCATGTCTTTTGCTTGAAATAATAACTTGATTCTGTGGCAGGAAAAAAAAAAAAAGAAAAACATAAGTAAACTGCTGTTAGCATTATTCCATTGTGTTCAAAGAGGCTACGTTAAGAACGAATTTATCCATGACCCCTGAGTGATGTTTCTACCATATGCCATTTGCAGGCTGTTTCATGGAGGGATTACTTTTTCACCTGTTTTAATTTTCAGAAAGCCATGCTGATAAATCCACTAAGCTAGCAATCATGGTGGCATACATAACTGCCTGAAATGTGGTTATGTTGCTTTTTTCTCTCAGCTAATAAAGGAGGAGCTCTGCTGGAGGGCACACTCTAAGGAAGTGGTTGACTTATTTCATGAAGAGGAGAAAAATGTGGTAGTGACAGCATCCATTGATGGTTCAGTCAGGTATAAAAATGACTAATACTTACTGCTATGGCCAGTCAATTGAACTGTCTCCAAAGTTCCTCTTCTTGCTGGACTTGTATATAGGCTAGAACTTAAATAAAATACAACACTGGGTGCATTTTCTGCTCTGCACCTGAAAGAACTAATTTTTTTAATGTAACATTTCCAATTTTCTCAGGAGGTCAGACCTTTTGCAGACTGTCATTTTCTTTCAGGAAGGTGACCTTGAATGCATAGGCAATGGCACCATCATTTTAGAAATTACCTCCTGTTCTAATTCTATTTTAGCTTTCAATACTTGTTAAATTGACATGGGTCCTAAGCATTGTGTCTAACCAATGCTTATGCAATCAAACCATTGCAGTCTGAAGATGCTTTATAGAAAACTGTAATTCCTTCTTGGCTAACACATACATTTGAAGGGGTTTCTTTTGGGGTTTTGGGGGAATCAATGAGGAAATTTTGTGTAGATCCTGCTCTGGTGGCAGCACCTTACTGTAGGAGCAATTCAGGATATTGGTGCCTTTATTCCTCAGTTTCGTAGTTATAAAGATGAACTGTTTGGTTGTTTTCTGATTTTCACAACATTCTTCTGAGAATTTTTTACTCTCAAGTTACTTACATTATAAACAGTGAACTTCAATCTCATTGATTTTTTTTTTTTATGAATAGCATACTGAACTCTAGCACAGTGCTGAAGAACTTGATAATGTAGACAGATGTTTTGTCACTTTTGTTCTACTTCTGCAAGTATTCATTTTTCCATTCTGTCCTTTGGCACCACTTCTACTATGTCTGCAGGCTCTGGCATGCCACAAACGGATACTATCTTGGTTACTTTGGACAACGTAGGAAGTTTGAATTATCAGATATCAGTTGGTTAATTTTGCCTTGTGATGTTAATAACTTTCCTACTATAATTAAAGAGGAAAGCAAGCATATGGAAAAGAAGAACTTTGAATATCCTCTAATGCTGGACAGGGACAAGTAAGATCTCGTACATTTACATATATGTATGACTGGGGGAACAGTTCTGAAAACATACTTAAAAAGCAACTTTCACCTGAAGGTCAGAAAAAATATTAGTATTTCCTATGTGCTATTTAGAAAAGTCCTTTTAAAAAATGTTTTTACACATTTCAGATTTACACATAAATCTCTTAATTGTTATGACTAGGTGTTAAACCACAATACTAGGTGACAGTCAGGATTAGGTGATGTTCAGGATTTGAATTCAGTAACAGTGATGACTAGATAATTATCTCCGATTTTAGCCTAATTAGGGTCTGCATGTTATGTACACTGTTCAGGTTAGCAGCCTGTTTCCTTTCCAGTTTCACAAGTTGATATACTTCTGAGTTCCCAAAAATTCTATCAAAAAAGCTTAATGATGTGAATGGTTTCAACCCAAATCCAAATATTTCTGTAAGAATAAATTAAATTCAATCTTTCATTTTAAAAAATGGTCTTCTTAAATTTGCTGGGATGTTATGGATATATTCATACACCTCTGATCATGATGCTCTGACAATGGCATAAATGTTGTGTGTTCAATAGCAGTGTTGGACCTCTCTCCTTCTAGGTAGAGTTCTCAAGGGATGTGGGTTAGTTACAAGTCAAGCCAGAGAGCCTTGGCCCTCTAGCTTAAGTCATATTTCTAGTCCTGGAGCTCCCTGGTTCATTAATTAGTGGGTTGACCAAATGAACGTAAATACTCAAGCAGGAATCCTCATGGGAAACATGCACATTGCTTTTAGTCACAAAGCAGTCCAAATGTGGGAAAAATTACTTCAGGGCTTAAAAAGTCATGCATGCTTTAGTGGTAAGGTTTCACATACCATGTGCATTTTTAGGCTGCCTTTTAACCAAAGCACTTTGGGACAACAGGAGATCTCTAAGGTGCCTTACTGTTACCCCATTTAGGTCTGTATCCTGCTAATAATTATTATTCCATAAAGTTCTTTTACTAATGTGAGTGGTCCCAGTGAAGTCAGAACAGTAACTCATCAACACAGAGAAGTGCTTGGCTGTGTTTGAAGGACTAACCCCTGAAGTCCCTTTGAATAGTCAGCAGCTAATTTGAAACCTCTGGAATCAAAGATAAAAAATTCAGCCAGCTAAGTTTAAACAAAATTTCCATAAATGACATGCCTGTGTCAAACTGTGACTACTTTTTGAGGACCTTTCAAATATTTCAGTAAAGGAAAATGGCTATCTTAAATTTAAAAGACATTAATTAAACAGCCTCGAAGCAAATGAGAAGCCTGCTTAACTGTGCAGAGAACTGGGGGAAGAAAAAAAAAAAAGGCGGCCACATGCTGTGCAATAGAAAGTTTCAGTCTTATAATTTCTATATGCTCTGTGTGCTCTCATCTCAAGAGCAACTTGATTCCTCTTGATTAACTGTACCAAATAGTGTAATGGATAGCTAGCCAACTGTCAGCAAAAAGGCTGTGTTACCTATGGATGCTACGTTTTGATCTCTACAGGATACAGGAGCTTCTCTTGGGTCAAGTTAGTTATCTTCATGATGCTACTACAATTTGCTAATTGGATAACTGTCATATAAGTCACTAAGATAATATTTCAGAATCTCAATTAACAAACCAAGTTATAAATGCTATTAACAGATATTCTCCACATGTGGACATACCTGAAAAGGTACAAACCCAGCTGAATAGCATAGATGCTTAATCAGGTCATCTGTTGAAAAATGTCAGCAGGTAGATAGACCCATATACAAGAATAGTCTCAGTTTCTCTCTGTAGTTTATAATTCCTTAGCTTGTGTGATCTGACTTGATTTTTCTGATTATAAATGAAACTGTGTTAATCTACACTAACAGACACTCTAGATCATTTCTTCTTGTGATTAAATTTGGAAACAAGGTATATGAGCAGAAGAAACCTTCATTGTTATGAAAGTGGCATACAGGAATTGTAGTGAGAACTGACAGAAATGCTGAAAAGCCATTACCAGACAGCAAGTTAGCACCCAGTTGTGGTAACCAGTGCTTTTTATATTAACATTCCCAGCCTCCTAAAGATGATAAGCCAGTGTCTGGATTGACAGTGTCAGTGAAGTACTTCATGACACCTATGAATATCATAATATAAATTATATTTTGAAGATATATAGAATAATTTATACTTAAAAATAATATTATTTTGGAGCCAGCTAAGAATGTTGCATTCAGATTGGCATTTTGACAGAAGCATCAGATTTTTTCTCTCTTGTGTGTACAGGTGGAAGTCACTGACGAGATCACCTTCAGTTTTAAAAAAGCCTAAACATGTGGACATAATTCAGGACTTGAAGTTTTTCAAAGCTCTCACTTCTCCAAAGGTAGCTAATGTGTATGACAAATTTGTTTCTGTTCTGTGCAACATATAGAAAATACAACTGTATTTCTCATTTAGAAATTAGCCATAAATAGCACTACATAACCTTCTCATTCAATGGACAAGCTAGAACAAAAATGCATAAACAGAGGGATCAAAGAAACTTCTCTAGTTTTCATTCTCATTGTTTCACACTTCCAAACTCCAATTTAGAAAGTAGCACACGCGGATTCACTTGTTTGGTTTAACAGCATTAAAAAAACCCTAGAATTTTCCCATGCTCCAATGGAAATCCTAAATATTTTAAGTGTACTTGAAGGAAGTGTGAAAATATGAGAACAACAATGAATCCATGGTTATACACAACAGTTCTTTCATGGCTCCCATGAAATCAGAAACCAGGAGAGTTCTGAGTTAGTTTAGCTATTGTTATAAATACTTTCTAGAATTCTAATTGAATAATGGTGGAGCTGCTCCATCTTTACCTGGCTTAGCCCTTTAAAATCATGGGAACAGGTAGAACTTCTCTTGCATTTGTAGTACAAAAGGAAAAAGATACAAATCCTAGGGCCACTTGCCAAAAAAGCTTCCATTAACACCCTTCTGACTGCTCCTCCCCAAAGGGAACAGCTAGCGAGGGGTCTGAACTCTTGACATCCTCTCCTAAAATTTGTGGTACTCTGAGTCTCCTATGTACCAAAATCTGTTATCCTAATGCGGCCAGCTAAAGTCCAAACAGTAGTCAGTAAAAGACAACACTACTCCCTGTGACCCGCTACTTTTCTCTGTGTACCTCAGGTGAAAGGATGATAAGGTGAATGCTATTTGGTGGCTGTGCAAACACCTCAAGTATATGATTAGCTCACCATAATTCAGTTGTCTTGTCTTTCTGACATGGGTAATGCCTAGTAGTTAATGCACATGACTAATGTTTAGAATTAACAAGCAGACCTTGGAACAGATTCCCTAAGGAATGTTTTACATTGTTGAAGATGTGGTATTTCTTAAACTGTTACTACTGCAGCACACTCAGTAGTGTATTAGTAAGACCATGGAAAAATGTAAGTAGAAAATCTCTGTATAATGTATCATTTCAAATTAAACTCATGTTTTCAAATTTGATGGAAACAAGGGTTCTTTGCAATATTTCAAGCTGTAGGTGCATTTTTTTCCTTTCTGGAGGACCATAAATTGGCCTCCTAGGGTGAAATCACAGCTATATCAAATGTCAGGATTCATGTGAGTGTGGATGAACTGCCAAAGCACCTGACTGTCAAAGCACCTGAGGTATTTTTGCAAATTCAAAGCTTTCAACAGTTGACAGCAAAAATGTCTTGTTCATCTGCATCTTTCCAACTGGCTGCTGAAGTGTTTGTGATTTGCAAAGCCCAACAGAGGGATAGCCAGACTGACAGCCCTGTGATGGAGCTATCATCTGGGAGGGAGGTCTTACTCCATGACCCCTTGGCTAGACTTCCACTCTCCTCTGACAGCATGCATCTACCAAACCTGACAAGTACCCAGAAAATGATTCCTTTTTTGAGCTTATCCAAGGTATTAATAGGCGAGAGAACTAAGTGTTTAAAAGTAGCTTTAACTTAGGCAATAAAAAGCATTTTGCTGTTAACTGTCTTGATTTTGTGTCCCTTCGGAAGCTGGAATTTTGCTGGGTTTGTATTTTCTATAGCAGAAGAATGATCCCCTCCTAATTTTAAAAAAAGTTCAAGGCAGCCTTTACATGGTACAAAGAAAACCTGTGCATAAACCATAATCTCTCTACATAGTAATGATATACATTTCTTCAGATAACATGAATGTTACCATGCAATTCAGTAACAGAAGTAATGTTTTCATTACCTTTTGTCTTCAGCTAGTAATGTACTGACTTTGACTTCCCTTGGTCAGATCCATAGACAACCTGTGGAAAATTTTGAGTCTGGAAACAGAGAGGCTGGTGCAGTATTTGGGTTTCTTCCTATATATGAGGTAAGCACAAATGTTTTCTTTTCTACCTTTTGCAGTTGCATTCATACAGCAGAAGCCATTAGCACTAGTAAATTACTACAATCACGTACTCTGAATTCTATTGTTAACTGTCTGCTTCTCAATTTAATTTTCTAACATGGTACACATTACTACCTGTCCAACTCCATTCTCCAATTGGCGGAAGCTTGGGGAGCCAGATGAAGACAGTGTGCCACAAAGTGAGTATTTCAGCCATTTATGTCTCCTATTCAACCTCACATCATTAACTTTTTGCTCAGACTCACCTCTTTTAACCAGCCCAAAAACTATTGATTCTTATCTGCACAAAGCTTCAGCTATTGTAAGTTAATACTGTTTTATGGGTACTATTGATTTGATTTATTGCAAGCTGTCTAGCAAGGCTTCCTAGGTTGTTCCTCCTGTGGAGAAAGACCAGAATGTCCACAGCCTTGTCTATCCCACCTATCATAGGATGGAAGGAATCAACTCTAGCAGAGGTGCTGATCTCTCTCTATAGAGGGTACCTAGAGAAATAGCTTGGATGAGACTCCTAACATCTAGATGGCTAGCTAGGTGGGATGAATAGGGTACTCTGCATTTAAACATGACTTAATGTTTGTGCATGCAGCATTACAGAGCGTATCAGAAAACTCAGGAGCACGCTGTTCAAATAGTTGGCACATATGCTATTCTTCTGACCATTAATGTGCCTTGGAAGTCAATGTTTTGTTTTCTTCCAGAAGAAAACACAATATAATGTGCCTTGGCAAGTTAGAGGCAACTAAACTGAAGCCAATGGCACTGAAATGGATTTATAATAAAACAAGAACAGACTTTTTCTATGACATACATAAGCAACAAATAATTTTTTGTCTGTGCTGTCAAAAAATGCTGCCAAAGTGGTCTGTTCACCTAAGTTCTTTAAATTTTCCAATTTATTTTTTAAAGGTCTTCAGTGGAACAAAGCTGAGATGTCCAGTCCCACTGGATGGACAATAGAGACAGGTTTCAGTGGAGAATAGGGTCAAGACAAATAAACATAGCGTCCATCTTCAGGAAAGTGGATTAGCAGGTTCCTTATTTCAATTTTTTCTCTGTTTTTTTTTCTATTATATTTAAACCCATTTCATTAGGAAGTAGAGCATACAGAAATCAAATCTTTACTTCTATTCCAGTCCTTCATGCAAAAGATAAATTCTAATAAAGCCAGTATATGATTATAACAAGATACTCACAGAAAAGCCCATCTCACTCCACTTTTTGATAGTTAAGAAGGAAAAGCACCTTACTATGATTAACTGCGTAAAGATTGAGAGCCACAAATCTGCAAAAATTCTTCTTTTGCTAGCCACACAGACTTCTCTGAAGAACAAGAAATGTAACTCCAGAGGTACCGCTCTAACCTTTCTCTCATGTTTCATGAGCTTTGGTGTCCTTGGATAGGCAAAGAGTTGATGGGATGTTCCACAGGTAGCACACATATGCCACAGTGTCCTAGTCAAATGTCTACTACCAAAAACATTTAGATTTCCTTGTTAGTCATGTGGAGATAAGACAGAAGAAAGATTGAGAATTACATTCAAATAATGAGAAAGAGCCAAATTTAAAGATACCTGGATTTAGGTCACAGCATCATAGAACATGCCATCTTTAACTCTGCGCTATTTTCAGCTGAGCTAACTTTATATTAATTAAACGTAATTACAGAAACAGAAAAAACAAAAACCGAGCAAAGCTCCCTGCAATTGTTTTGTTGATGCTATATGGACAAGTCTTCAGAATTATCATTCTAATACCTTTTAGTGCCAATATTTTTGTTTGTTGAGAAGGTGCCTTGACCAGAACTATTAACAGAATGAAATGGTCATATTACCCAAAAAATTAATTTTCAGCAGATCAGATTCCTTCTGATTTATGCTATTTTGTTTTAGAAATGCACTAACATGTCATGGTATGGAAAATCTATTTTGATAAGATTTTTTTAAATTAGTTTTTCTGATCAATTTACTTCCTGCCAGGTTTATGGGCAAAATCCTGATCCCTTGTTGCACCAATTTAAATCTTACTATGCAGATTTCAAACAGGAGAAAACACTATAGGTCAACTCAATTGACCTCAATTATTTTAATCATTTTTATTATATAGTACAAACCAAGCCTAGGGCACAGTAGATGTGTTTAAAGGAAGGTCAATGTATGATTCAGGGGGTATTGAAGGTGAAAGTATAACAGCATTATTTTATCATTATTGTGATTCAATGTGAACTCCTTACACTGAACTGTTGTAAACAAGACCAAAATTTGTAAAATTCATATTTTAGGGTGATCAGACATCATACTCCTTTTCAGCAGTTGCCAGCGGCTGTTTATTTAATGAGAGGCTAGTAACAATGTTGTTCTGGTGGATTTTCTGTTAATTGAAAGTCTTCAGCTATTCCCCTCTGGGATGTGCTAAAACCTACTTAACACCTTCCCTATTTTTATGATTGGACTTTGAACCCTTAATCTAAAACTAAACCTTTGGATAGCACTGGAAGAGAATTGGCAGATGTTGGAAACTGATCTCCTCACCAACCTTTAAGAAACCAAAGCGTAGGTTTGTCTCTTTTCTTCCATGGCACAGTAATGTCAGAAAGCTTTGGTCTTCTCATGCTTTATTCTCTATTTTCATCTGCATAGGAAATCCAAATATTTAACTAGCACAAGTAATAATAGAATCGTATTGAATAGCATCTTTTACCCTTTGCTGCATAATGAGCTGCCCTTCTGCTTGGGAAAGCACATGGCAAAAAGGAAAGGGATCTTGGGTTTATGTAAAAATCATTCCTGTTGAAATCAGTGGATAGCCCACTCAACATTTAAAAATTCATTATGGCCCAGAGACAAAGATCTTAACCAGGCCCACTGTAGTAAATATTATGTAAAAGAAAACTCACTTGCCTGAGATCTCAGATTAGGCATCTGCTTCCTTAGGGAAGATGCTACTTCAATAATCAGAAATGGGTAGAATTGATTTTACACTCTGACAGAAAAATGTATGAATTTTAGTGCCAAAGGAGATTGGCTGTATCATCTAGTCTAACCATCTGGGTGGCACAAGCCAGAGAACCCATCATGAATATCTTCTGCGGCCAAATGCCTGTTTGTGTTTCTATTTTGGTTTCCAGTTGAAGGGAGCATCCTAAGGTTCTTAATGTACATTTGCTGCCAGTTATTCTCCATGTCAAAACCACAGGTTTCCTCTCCGCTCCAAATCTGCCCAGTCTGGACTTTCATATATTGGATATTACGCTGCCTTTTTTCTGCAGGATTAAGCTTCTTAAACCATCAAAAATCCTTTCCAGAGATTATTCTTCTTAATGAAAGAAGTCAAAGTCTGTTCTCCATGATGTAGTCAACTTGTCTGAGCTGAGAGTAAGGAGCAGGTTGGGCATTTCAGCTGAGAGGCAGCACACAGCAGCTTCAGGAGCCAGCTCAGGCCTGGCGGCAGCATGTTACACTAACATGGCACTCGGTCTGAACTAACACACCCTGTCAGCTCCAATAGGTCCTGCACAGGTCTGGCTCCAGCATCCCTGCAGATGCTCCCCGGGGCCTCTGGTTCTGTGCTCAAAAAAAAAACCCCTATGAAACAGAAACTCAGGGGAGTGTGATACAGAGAAATTACACCTCGCACTCTGTGAGCTGTTCTGAAGGCAGAAGCAAAGCACGAATTATGTTCTCCTTTACCCAGGTTCTATCAGCCTCCCAGTTACTCTTGATAGCAAAGTTAACTGTAATTTGAGCTTTGTGAGTCTCTCACTACAAGGCAGATTTCCATAGCCTTTTTATCTCTTTCCATCACAGTGGTTATCTTTTTTTAAGTGTCTGCCTCAGAACTCCATTTTACACTCAGAATCTTAAAAGCATCAGATAAGCAACAAGGAGTTAATATGCCCTGCTGTTTCTGCCTGTTAGTTCCTTGCTTGTGCTTTCAAAGAACACGATCATCCTCTAAGCCAGAAGAGTGCATGCTGAGCTCATATTCAATTAACTATCTGTCATGATTTCCTGAATCCTTCCTGGCATTTCAGCATTCCGGGACAGCGGCATAACATGACACAGGTCACAGAATACATATTCTATCATCCTTTGTCTGGCTAAAGGTACAGATCCTTGCCAAGTGTGTCACCTTAGTGAGAATTTAGGATAATCCATGTAACTAGTGCCATTATTACCCACTATTTGGGGGAAAATAGTGGGTTTTCTATATTACTGGTAATGAACAGTGTTTGATCTGCTGGCCTTCTTGGAAAGGCTGTCTTCTGATGAGCTGAATATGCAATGACTTGCAATGACTTACCTGTCTTCAACTTGTTACAGGACTATGATGGATTTTGGGGTAATACTGCTCTTTTTCAGCAAAATATCTTGTGGGAGTATATTTAAAAATATTATGATCAACTGTACTGGGATCTAGCTGGGATGAACCTAATTTTCTTCATAGCAGCCTGTATGGTGCTGTGTTCTAGATTTGTGATTAAAACAGTGTTGATACACCAGTGTTTTGGCTATTGCTGAGCAACACCAGCACAACATCAAGGTGGTTTTTTCCCACCCTCAGTGAGCAGCCCAGGGGTGCACCAGAAACTGGAAGGGGATGCAGCCAGGACAGCTGACCTACACTGACCAGAGATATTCCATACCATATAATGTCCTGCTCAACAATAAGAGCTCATGGAATGGAGGAGGAAAGCAAGATGTTCATGGTGATGGTGTTTGTCTTCCCGAGTAACCATTATGCGTGCTGAGGCCCTGCTTCCCAGGAAGTGGCTAAACATCTGCCTGTTGATAGGAAGCAGTGGATGAATTCCTTACTTTGCTTGCACATGTGCAAACTGTCTTTATCTCAACCCATGAGTTTTCTCGCTTTCGCTCTTCCAAATCTCTCCCCCATCCCAGTGGGAGAAGTAAACAAGCAACTGGGTGGGTGCTTAGTGTCTGCCAGGGTCAACTCACCACATTAACCAGCCTTGTGATTAAAACTAAAATCAAGCTTGTCTGACAAACCAAGTGGCATTAGATAAAGTGTAATCTGCCATTTACCGTTTGTGTTCCCTTCGCATGCCCCATGATTTAGCAGTTAGCGTATGAAAGGTAACACCCCTGCAGTTCCCTGAGTCCTATTTGCCTTTGAAAGACAGCTACATCAGCTGTCTTCCAGTTACCTGAAAATTGCCTAGTCTTCAAAGATTATTAAAAATGAACAGTGCAAATTCAGAGAGCTCCTTACCCATTTCTTTTGATACCCTTATGTGTCATGTTTTATCATTGTGTAAGATTTTCTTTTTGGTATTGTCCCTATTTATAGTTCAAATGAAAGTATTTTACTGTGCTTGCAAGATGCAGATATCCCATTTCTCTTCAGTTTATTAACTGACTGTTTACTTCCTCAGAACTGACTATTTACTCATTCTTTTCTTTTTACCAAAACTTTAGCACTGCTAGGATTTCATAGGTTCTTAATTTTTAAGTTTTAGTCTTTTCAGTCTTGCTGCCTGCTCCCTTTGTTTTTCCTTATTAATTGCCCATGTTTTGCAAGAGCTGATTTGTACTCATGTCTATTCATGCCACTATATTCTGCACTGTGCAGAAGAGCTCATCCATAATGTAATACTATTCCCAGTAACAATCAAGCATTTAATCCTATGCTGAATGAAATCAATGGAGCAGCTCTCAGGAGGGAACCATGCTGTAAGGAAAACTGTCAAAAATGTATGATATGCATGTGTTATCTTTAGCAGCCTTCCATCCAGTTATTACCTTATTGCTGTGCTATTTAAACTGTGACAAAATTACAGTGCTATAATGCTCTCAGACTTTTTTTTCCACAATTCATTAAATTAACAAAACTTGAAGTAGCTTAGAGTATGCGTCATTGCTCAGCATTACTGTTTACTTGAAGAGTTTCAACTCCTAGGGCTTTATAAACACCAAATGGAAACTGGTCCCGGCCCCAAA